TTCCAAAATATTTGTAATTCTGTTTAGCCAGATACATATCCAGAGGAATGACAGAAATTCCACTGTTGTAGATCCAGGTCTTCTGCGTCTCTTGTCTGCTCATTGAACTATGAATGAATACCGTCACACTGTGAAGGTACTTCCTGTGCTGACCTCCATTGTTTGAGAACATGTTTTATTGATGGCACAACTTCTAACCATTGCATTTTTGATAGCATGGTGAAAAATTAGACCCTCTGTTTAGGTTTTTTTTACCATGTTTTGGTCCCCATTGGGGGGATTTCCTGTACCTGAGATCACTAACACAAACTGCAGAAATAAAGGTGGAAACTAGAGTAGAGTAAAATACTGACAGACATTCTAACTCTTCCCGATGTAACTTAAAAAAAAAAAAAAACCCAGGCATGATTGTCGTTTGTGTTGGACTGGTTCTTATCTGACTTCCTCTATCGGTTAGCTGAATCACAGGCTGTAAGAAGAATTCTCCCTGATCGCTTCAAAGGCAGCAATGAAAACCTGGCCTGTTTTAACCTCTACCTCCAGGGGTAGCAAACCTCCGGCCCTCCAGCTGTGGTGGAACTACAAATCTCATGAGGCATTGCAAGATTCTCACAGCCACAGACATGACTCCCGAAGAGAGATGCATCATGGGATTTGTAGTTTCACCACAGCTGGAGGGCCGGAGGTTTGCTACCCCTGCTCTACCTACTCTAATATAAAAGCTGTGACTGGAGTTCCTTTTTAAAGGAGAACTATGAGGCGAGTGCTTTTCACTCACCTCATAGTTCTAGCCGACCAGTACACCCCAAGGAGAACTATGGGGAAAAGCCATGACCCCATAGTTCACCTTTTTAATATTATGTGATTTACATTGTATATCTTATGGAAATCGCCTGTTAGAACTTCCCTTTTGGTTTCGGTTGAAACCTATATTTCTCTAATTGCACCACATAAAGGCTTTTGAGTTCAAATCAAATCTTGTGTAAGACGTCAGTGGTTGGAGTGTATGTAAGGTTCAGGTGATGTTGCATGATCTGTTCTAGGCGTTTACAGCATACACTGAACACAAGGACCGTCCTTGACCTGTTGTGAAACCATATTCAGCACTAGTTATAAAAAGAAGAAATGTTTATGAAGTTGCATATCTTGAGCCACAGAGCACATCACTGTAAACACCAGATAGGAAAAGAGAGAAAGCAAAATATGGGGCAAAGTGCTGCTCCCAGTCGGATTCATTAGCTACTTTTTAGTGGCAATCCATGTGTCTTGTCAGTTTAAAAAAAATGTTTTTTTCATGATACTGTGTGTTCTCTTGTTTAGAGTCAGTACATTCAAAGGTCATATTTTAGATATAGTTGGAGTTTGATGGGCTGGATTATTCGCTGGCAACTTCAACAAATTTCCTCGGCTGTGTTCCTGCCCACCTCAGGGTTTAGGTCCCTGATGCCCAACCTGCAAGCCAGCTGTCACATGCAACTCTCCTTAGGGTAACGGGAGGACACAAACTAGCGTCCTCCCGTCACCCTAGGCTCAGTATACCGCGAGCTGTAGCTCGAGGTATACTGAGACGCCGCAGTATACCGCGAGCTGCTGCTCGCGGTATACCGAGACGCTGAAGCGGATCCCGACAATTGTCGGGATCCGCCCAGCTGCGTGACTGACAGCTGGCTCTGCCTATCTAGAGGGAGAGCCAGCTGTACCCGCCCCCTCTCTTGTCCGTTCCACAAGTCAGCGCTGGCGGAGCGGTGAGGGGGGGAATCCAGCCCCTCCTCTGTCACGGCAGAGAGCCGTGACAGGATCGAGAGGTGAGCGAACGCCGGTATGTGTTCGCTCACCTCCCGATCTACTGAGCCGACCTGTGACAGTCATTGTCACAGCTCAGCTAGAACTATGAGGTGAGTGAAAAGCACTCGCCTCATAGTTCTCCTTTTAACCCCTTTGCTGCCAAGACCTTTCTTGCACACGTTACAATCCACATTTGTGGCCTGAAAATTACTTAAAACCCCCAAACATTTTATTTCTCTTTCATTCGTTGAAGGACACGGTGGAGATCTTCAGATCTTGACCAATTGAGGTTATATAGCGCCAGCTTCAGGAGTAGGACACTAGACCAAAAACTGAAAGTGGTGCTATATAACCTCCATTGGTAAAGATCTGAAGATCTGTGTCCTTCATTGAACGCAGAGGAAAGGATTTTAAGGTGAGTACAAAAATCCTATTATTTTCTGAAAGCAAAGACCCTGTAGAATAAAATGGGGGCAGTTACAAATTTTTCCATCGCACCACATTGGTGCAACTTTTAACCAGAAATGTAGTAAAAAATGCATTTAAGTTCATTTTGGTGCCCAAAAACAATAGAATACCCATTTTGTGTAAAATATAAAAGATAAATAAATGGATATCCAACATGGCCATGGTGTTTGGCAGGGGGGCACGCACTACACCGGTCCCTGGAAGCGATCTGGCAGCAGTCTTGCCAATGGAGTCCCAGAGATATATAAGAAAATGGTTTAAGCTGCCAGCATCTACCAAAAACTGAAATGTCACTTTTGGAGTCACTGACCCTTCACCAATAAGTAAATAGTGTGCTTTACAAATATATACAGTACAGTATTCAGGATAACTGTGTGACTTTGCTTTCGTTTTTTATTGCAGAAAGCTTGCATACTCCCAACCTGGGGTTACAAATGGTGAGGGCTAAACTCTTGATCAGGATACTGCGTTCTCCTTGAATTAACAGTGATTGAATGTCAGTAGGATCTTATTCTAGATATCTATACACTTACATGTGTGTTCACTGCACCATGGAAATCTCATGTACAACAATCCTAAAAATCACTGCGTAGAGGAGTTGAAGTCCAGGTCGATACAAAAAGAGCCATTTTCAGTTATGCATTTTTATTAAAATGCAAATAATGAAGGTTGATGTCTAGAGCTGCAGCTAACGATTATTTTCAAAATCGATTTTGAAAATAATCGTTAGCTGCAGCTCTAGAACTTAATAATTAGCCGATTATTAAGTTCGATCGGTTAATCGGATAAAAAATACATTTTAAAAAATGGCTCCAGTGATGGGACTTCTAGTTTGTATTGAGATTGCAGCAAGCTTGGAGCGGTGGAAGTAAAAAAGAAAAAAAAAAGTGTGGTGTACAATATAGTAATGTCCATCTCCTGCAATCTCCTGTACAGTAGAAATCACTAGCGAAAATTACTCCCATGTATATATTCAACTGTGTGTGTGTTAGCTTTTAGTAATGCAGTCTTCTGTAGCAAACCATTTTTGTCAATCATAGATATCCTATTCTATGGCACACAGGAAAATTGTGGAATATGGCCTAATTACAAAACATGTAACCCCTGGCTCTTGAAGTACTATAATAATGTTTTCAGACATTGCTGCATTGGGTAAGAGGCACAATACACAGTGTGCTGAAAAGCAAGACACTTTGGGGGTCTATTTAAAGTTTTTCACACAGTAGTCACACAACTTTTACCTAAGATTTAGACATTTTCTAATTGGATTTGATTGGAAAAATCTGTGAATCTTGTGTAAGAAAAAGTAATAAGTAGACCCCTTCACTCAGAGCAGGAAGTAAGGGGGAAATCTTTGCAATGTGACTCGGATAACTAGAAAAAACGGTTCTAATTCTTCCCCACTCCATCCAAAACTAATTTTTTTTGGCTATACATACTCTTTAACCCTTTCAGTGCCACCGACATATATCATAAGTTGGTGGCAGCACTGGCATGCACATCAGCTGTCTGCTTTCTAGTCGAAGTGATTCATGCTGCTTTATAAACATGCTGAGGAAGGTGCCTTACCATGTGTCCTGAGCTCACCTGTCTTTCCTGGGTGCCTGGGGCCTCTATGGTAAGTGGCATGGGGGCAAACCTCTATTAGCTGATCTCCCTGTGAAGAGTTACACCGGAAGTGATCAGCTCTGATCACCTCCAGGTTCAATGCGGTCATTCCCCCAGCCTCTGTGGCTGGGGAGAGAGCTGATCGAGCGCAATTTGTGCTCAGTCGGCTTCAGTATAATTTAGGGGTGACATCAGGGGTCTAGTGTGCATACTAACATGTCTGAGGAAAAAAATAAGCATACATTTTTTTAGTTCACCAGTAAAAATATGCTGGGTATACAGGTTGGATTGTTGCTCACGGGCGAGTGCACATGAATCCCTCTGTGGCACTTCACTTGACGGATCTGGATCAGATGTGAGATTTAAAAAAAAAAAAAGCCTCTAAATCCTCTTGTATAGGAATATGAACTTCAAGTTCAGCTTGCTGTAAATAATCTTATCAATATGTGTTCAAGTTTGTGCAAAGACCTATATTGCTATGTATAGTTTGTAATATATCTGCATGAGGAAAACCTTATTTGCTTATTTAATTTTCAGCTTCCTGGTGTGCAGTGCTACACAGTTGTTGTGCTTTTACTGCTGCTCCTCAAAACGCAAGACTCTGAGTTGATTGAGGACGCACTCCTTGGGCAGCTTTATATTGTATCTCAACAGTTGCTATGTAGAGAAGCTGTAGTGAAATACAGAATTTCCTGTAGTAGTTAATCCAGGGGTGGCCAAATTATTATTGAATCCAGGTGCCAGCAGGATATTTTTTAGGAGCTAGCTATATTGACAGCTAGAGAAAAACTCAAGTTAGGAGCCAGATGTAATTTTGAAGGAGCATTGGCTCCTGGTGTTGTCCATAAGGTAATCTACAAATCTCTGTTTAATACAAGAGCAAAAATATGGAAGAACAAGCTTTTAATAAACATCGTAATAATAACTCAAAGTGTTCTTGGTAGAATTAAACTGCTCTTTCCCTTTTTATTGGGCATATTTTGTACTATGCTTAAGATGCAGACCACATTTTCTGACATGCAAGTCCAGAAATGTGGTTGTGCCTTTTATTTGGAGAACTGTCCCTTAGTGAAATTGTGTAACATTAGGACATTTGAACTGTGTATAACATACTCCATTATTTTCTTTCTGTGTTATAGGTCAGGATGGCTAACAAATTGGCTCCCAGCCTGGTGTCCCACATCTACAACTCATCTAAAGGAGGCTGAAGAGAAAATGCTGAAGTGTAAGTTTTATATTGAATTGTGGAATTAACTATGCAAATGTTAAGAATGGAAGCCATCTGCCTTTTAATATTCTCTTTTAAATGGCTCAATGTGGTATGCCAGAAGGTCCATTGGTCCTCATGCAAGTGGGACAAGGTATAATTGGTATTGCTTGTAGCTCCTTTGTTTGGCTGTTTCACCCTTCCCAAGGCATAATTGAAGACCTGACAGGGCAAACCCTTGTGGTGAGCCAGGGGGAATTCAGAATTTCTGGGTTGGATGGCATCCTTTCTGATCTTAAAGGGATAGTACTTTTTATAAAGCTGATTTGCTAATTTGCAAGGAATGGTGATCTAAACAAGAACTTTCCTATAGTCTCTTCTTTCAGACCTCTTTTGATCTCTACCTTACAATCTTTGTAGCATGGAAATATAGGAACTACCATTGATGTCTTTGGCTTTTAATGGTGCAAATTCTGTGCCTGTCAACTTTATTCTTTGCTTTATTATATATTTAAATAACTGATATGGAACAGATATGCAGGTCAGGTGTCCTGGTGCTTATCAGGTTACATGCCTGATCCAGATCAATATCTTACTAAGTAAGGAAGCTCCAATACCTAGCTGGCTAGCACTTGTGTCCGGAGTGTGACCACTCCAGAGTTCATGTCATGAGGCCAGGCATATTTGTATGTATGGGAGTTTACCTCGTGTTTGTAACACTTTGTGCTTTTAATTGCTTTCAACTAGTTTAAAAAAACTGTTTCACCTGCCCATTGGGTAGGGCGAAATGTAGAAAAAACCCCAACTGCATGTCCTGGGTGTTGGGTGATAGGAATCCTGCATCCCTGTGTAAGAGTTTTTCCCTGGGATGGGCAACTCCAGCCCTCAAGCTGTTTTGGAACTTCAAGTCCCAGGAGTCATTCCAAGACTGACGGTTACAAGCATGACTCCCAAAGGCAGGTTGGGATTTGTAGTTAAAGCACCGCTGGAGTTGCCCACCCCTAGCATATCCCATTACTTATTCCCTGGAAAATTCCTTTTTTTTTATAACTCTAAAATTAACGTCACTTTTAGTATCTAACTTTTTTTAACCTCTAGCAGTAAACTTCAGATTGTTCATTGGACAAAAAGGTGATGTTCTAAAACGCATGACTGACTGGTTCTGTATGTGTTTAGGAATGCAGCTTGATAAACATGTGGGGACAGGTGTAGAGGTTGTTTGACGTGGCTAATTGCCTGCATGACACTGCTGATCTCTTCGGTAATCTGTTCCCGTTCATATTGTGCAATGAAGACACTTCTAAACGCCCTGGAGAATGGTCATCATAGAAAGAGGACATCGATGTACACACAGTATGAGAAATAGGGAGTGGAATTGCCTAATGACTTGAACATATCAGCAGTAGAACAATATGATAACCAGTTACAAAAACAAATATATATATATATATATACTCGAAGAGTGGATACCCAAAAAGTATGCTGTTGCTAAGCTGACATCCCTATTTAAAATCTAAAAACAAAAATTTGCACCTGGGACTATAAATGCAGCAATACCTATAGAAAAGACAATTTCATAATGAATAGTTATGAACTGGAGAACCAGAATTTGTAATGTAAGAAAGACAGCTGTAAACTCTCCTATATCTGCTACTGAACTCCAATAATTGCCTTGCAAATTGCAAAGGGACTCCTCAGTGCAAAGCTGTAAAGATCTACTTTTAGCTAATTGGTGGTAGCAATATAACGGCACAAATGGCTTGGACCTCCGTAACCAATATACACTAAAATCAAATACTTTAAAACCAGTGCAGCCTCTAAAAGTAACAGCCTTCTGTGTTATAGCAAACAATCTCAGTTCTGCATTTCTCATTCGCAGCATCTGTTGTGAGTATATGTGTGTATATCCGAGTAGGACAAATCCCAGAAGCCAGGTGGGCGCCTTTGCGCCCTAAAATTTTCATCCAGCGCCTAAGGTTTTCTCTAGTTGTCAATAGACCTGGAGTCTAAATAAAATTGTAAAAATCCTCCTCGATTGGACAGACCGGCTCCTTTTTTGTTGGCCCTGTGCACTGTTTTCTCACAAACCTGAGGCATGCTGGGTTGTGGAGGGATTATATGGGGGGGATCAGTTACTACATTTGTTTTGTTTGCCAAAGACCCAACCTGCGGAAGGTAGCAGTGTTTACCCAACTGTTTCTGAATTCCTGTGTCCTTCAATAGACTAAAAAAAGATTTTACGGCAAGTACAAAAATCATATATTTTTTTATTTTTTTTATCACTTTGTTATCTTAAACCGTAGTAAATTCTTTGTCAAACCAATCAGCACTTAAATGTAACAACTGGCATGGAACTTAAGGGGAAATAATTGCTCGTCCTGAAGTGACAAATATTATAAAGTGATGTCCTGTATTACATCTTCAGGTCAGATAGTATTGCATATTAAAATTCTTGTTAGGTTATACCAACTATCAGGATCTATCGCCTTTTTACCCCTTTCCCCCCCCCCATTTACATTTGGGGGAGGTTGCATTTTACATTATGAAGGAAAAGTGAGAGTCAGCTTAATGCTCACTGACGATCCATAATTGAAATATACTAACTTTTTTCATTGTTTCACCCTAAACATTTTTGGTCGAATACACTATACATGGGTGTGAGTTATTTCTTTTTAATTTTCAGGTATAACAAACTCCTACAACAAAGAACATGTATTACAGCCTGGAGGGAACCAGATCTGGACCTTGACATTCACACAGCCATCATCTCAGAAGACTCCACTGGTGTTGCTTCATGGGTTTGGAGGAGGAGTTGGACTTTGGGCACTGAATTTTGAATCTCTTTGCCAAAACAGAACTGTTTATGCTTTTGACATCTTGGGTTTTGGACGCAGTAGTAGGCCTCACTTTGAAGATGATCCTGAAAAAGCAGAGATGCAGTTTGTGCAGTCAATAGAAGACTGGCGAATGGCACTGGGTCTGGATACTATGATTTTATTAGGGCATAACCTGGGAGCTTTTTTAGCTTCAGCTTACTCTTTGAAATACCCTTCAAGGTAAGTTGTGTAATATTAAAGTCTTTAAACCTGAACTCCAGGCTAAACAAATATGGTCTAAATACAAGAGGTGTGTGTATTGTTATTTGAATCTTTGTGTCATTTGTGTATTTCTACCAGAGCTGTGCAGTAATCCAGCATGAAACATGTCAGTGAAGGATTATCCTGTTATAAAGACCGGTCACTGCTGCTCTTTCTCTTTCAGGGTGACTAGTTTTGTATCCACCCCCTCTGGTTTTCTGCAGGCATCCTGAACCTACAGGTTATCTCCCATGGCTCTGCTCCCCACACAGCCTATGTGTTAAAAGTTTTTTTGCAGAGTTCAGCTTTAAAGAATCAACATACCAAGTATTTAAGCATTTTTAGTGAACATACTGGGCGCTTTACTACAGCAAACATACTACTGTAGGAATTTCAGTGGTAGCAGATTTCCAACCAGAGCTCACAGCTTTGCTGCTCTGAAGTCTCACTCTTCTTGCTATTCCTGCATTCCCTCAAAAAAGACTTATAGAGTTGGTGAATGTACAGCAGCTCTCCTGCATGAAATACTGAAAACACATCTACCTCTGTCTAAAATTGCGAGGCCCTCTTTGCTACCAGTGCTGCCCCATACCATTGTATTGCTCAAACAAGTAATGGAAAATCTTACTTGTGGATACTGTCCCAGTTGGTATCAGAACCCAGATATTTCAGCTTTGCACATCCAGGCAAGGCCGTAAAATTGCTCAAAACATGATTTATTGTATTAGTGATTCTGTTAGTTTATTTCTGAATATGTACTTTGTGGGAAAAGGCATCAAATCTGCAGATTATCAATAGAACTGGAGTGCTTGTAAACCAGTACAACCCCATGGGTAGCACCACACAAATACATATTAATAGAGCCTAGCTATTCCACCACTTAAGGGTGGACACAAATCTCTGAAATGTATTGCTACTAATTTTATTCTCATCTCTGCCCTGCTGAAATGTATTACCATGACAGCATATTTAAAATATTTATTTTTTATGCAATAGGAAATTTATTCTATACCCTAATTGAAAGTAGATCTCACTATGTTGTGTGTGGTTTTTTTTTCGTTTTTTTTGTAGCTTTGCATACAGTAAAGGAGGCTTACAACCCCTGTCAGATTTCACTTAGCTTCCTGGTCAAAAGCCACATCAGGCAGCGAAAGTGAGGGAAATCACAGGAGGACAAATGGAGGGGGTGAATCTCCCTTATGGGGAAACAGACAGCAATACAGACCTGACAGATGTTCTAATCCTTCACTCTATCCAAAACTAAACTAAATAGTTTTGGTTTCAGTTGCACTTTAAATAAATATTTTTGGTAGTGGGTAAGGCTACCAAAATATGCATCTCAGATAAGTGGTTTTCTTTTCAGGATTGGATGTGGTTCTTTAACAGTCCACCAACCTTACATCTGCTATTAATCCAATGCTTCTGTGTACTGTAGAACTTGAGATATGGACTTTGACAGTTCACTCCTCTTCATGCCCAACCACACTTTGCAAAGGAGATGACCTCTTGATTGACAGCTCTTATGTCCCTGTCTCTGCAATTCCAGACACAAAACAAGGTTCCCCTTCCAGTTCTAGTGCATATGCTGAGTGAACTGTCAGTCTGTATCTCAGTTTCTACGGCACACAGAAGCATGGGATACAAAGCAATATACACTGTTGGGGTTAGGTGATTGAGCCATCAAAAATAAAAGGTGAAACTTCTTTACTAAATTAGGTAACAGGCGCCTTGTGCCTGCCCTTCATGAGGACTATTCATTTTTTAAATGGCAGACATGTTTCCTTTGCCTTTTGGAAAGCATACCAAAATATAGCGGTTTAAAAATGCTATACCGTTAAATCCAGCGTACATTTTAAATGCTACAGTAATTTTGTGTAAATTTGTGTAGCGGTGAAAGTTTAACTATGTTTTCTTCATTTTGTCCATAGGGTAAAAAGCCTTATTTTGGTAGAGCCATGGGGATTTCCAGAAAGATCTGACAATGCAACAGAGGAAAGACCCATTCCAATCTGGATTAAAGCAGTCGGTGCCGTTTTAAGTCCCTTTAATCCCCTAGCAGGACTTCGTATAGCAGGGCCACTGGGTCAGTAAGTTCACTCCAGATTTAAAGGGATTCTTTCTGACATTTGATGGGACTCATACGGTCATTCTGTACTGTTGCTTCTTTTGTTTGAAGTGTGGACAAACCTTGAGTTTATAAGAGGTGTATGCTTTAAAAATATTTTCAACAACATTCCTAGCACGGAATTTAGTATTACGGACTGTCAGTTCACTCTTTTTGGAGCCTCTATAAGGCTTGTAGGCATCTGTGGCTTTTCTCCTGCATGCTGTTTTCAACTTTATCTGACCAATTAAAGGGGCAGAGTGCTTATACCTTCATACCTTTTTGGTTGTGCTTTTCTTTGCCAAATAAGATGCTTAATCAGACTTTTAATGGCACTGTTAAGAATTTTTTTTTTTTTTTGCTTCATTTTGGGTTTTGGGTTTGCCCACTTCTGGATTATCAGTATCCATTATAAAGTTAAAACCGTCTAAGCTTGATGAAAGATGTGTGTCACATCTTGACATTATTCTAATATCTTCAGATGGCTGCTTTATTTTATCGAGCTGTGTGACCTAAGGCTCTCATTTTTCAGATCATAACTCCTTTGTACTGCACCTTCCTGTTGACCCACCAAGTATAGAGTGCTATGTAACCTTTTTAATCACTAATAAGGCATGGGAAGAGTTGGACTGAAGTGGAACATACAGTACACATATCGCGTTTTTCATAAGAGAACCCTATGTTATTATGTCTCTTGGGGCCCTTCAAAAAGGATCTGAAGACCTCTGCAGACACCACTCCATGTCTTCTTGAAATCTCTGTGGTTTGCGTCATTACTCTATATCTCTAGTACTTAACCTGACGCCCCTTGGCGCAGAAAGAACAAATGTACACACCCAAGTAGAGGACTCATCGCAGTGACTCCTCTTCTTTGTATCAAAGGGCTCAATATGAAGTTATAGACAAACGCAGCAGGTCTACTGCTGTGCTCTCTTTAACTATCCTTTAGTGTCTACGGTAATTCTTTGTCACATACTAAATGTTTAATTGTAAAGCTAGGTTTGTGTGTTTTCTCAGAGTTGTACTAATCTTCCCGCCAACCATATGCATATATGTGGCAGCAAAGTGGTGAACTTTAACACTGTGCTTGCTTATACATGTGTATAGCCAGCTTCACTGTTTTGTGCTGGGAGTGTGCTCAACCACACACCAGCACTGTTGCCGACAACCCCTGATCACTTAGCAACAATTTGGAGCCGGTAGGGTAGACTCCCAATTAAGTGACCACTGTGACAGCTGATCGCAGTGATCACATGATCTGGAAGCCCAGGAACTGGCATTAAGAATACTTTAACCGCTTGAAGACCAGGTGTTTAGATCCCCTACCTGGCCAGGTCATTTTTCAGTGTTCAGCGCTGCAGTACTTTGACTGACATTTATTCCGTCACGCAACGCTGTACTGAAATTAATTTTATACCATTTTTTAGGGACAGATAGAGCTTTATTTTGGTGGTATTTAATCACCACTGCGGGTTTTATTTTTTACTATATTCAGGAGAAATTACTGAAAATTTTGTGAAAAAAACGTTTTTTTTTTTTACATTATGCTATAAAACAACTAATATTACCCACTTTTTTGGTAAAATATAAAAGACGGGGTCACGTCGGGTAAATAGACACCAAACATGTCAAGCGTAAAAATTGCGCGCACTCGCAAAATCGCAAAAAACTAGCATACCCAACATTGGTCGGGTCTTTTCTGCCCGTGCGTGCCTGCTAGGGGGCGCGCGCGAGCAGTCCGTTTTTTTACTACGGGCGGACGGCAAGAGGTTAAAAGGCCGCCAGGAGACAGTGGTGAGGCGTTAAAGCCTAGACTTGGGAAGTAGGAGGAAGAGGTAGCCCCAACCACACCCTCTCAAAAAACAAGGTTTAGTTTGAACAGGGCCAACATTAGGAGAGCAGAACGTGATGTGCAGGAAACATTTGGGAGCATCATCTCGTAGAGGAGCTTAAGAAAAAAGAAAGGCCTCTGACTAGGATGTGCAGATCTGCAGGCAAACCGACATTTAACAGCTTGCTGAGCCACAAAAGAGAATTCTGACTGCCCTACTACTACTACTACTCAAGACTGCCCTACTCTGTACACTGTGCAGTATGTTACACACTCCATACCACTAATTATTACATTATTATCATATTAATAGGTATCACCAAAAATTACAACCAATGCCCTCCGCTTTATACAGTAAAGTATTTCAATCTTCTTTAAGCCATATTGTAATTTTTGTGTCGCAATAACAACCATATACTGTCCACTCCATCCTGCTGCTTTTGGGTCAGACTTGGGTAATTTTCTGCAGCAGAAAAATCCATCATATCCTTAAAAAAAAAAGCACAATGATCGCTTAATTTTAAAAATAGAGTTCAGTTTTTTTGTTTTATGAGTAGCGTGTGTAGCGTGTGTAAGGTGATCGGTGTGTGTAGCGTGTGTAGGGTGATCGGTGCAAAGTTTTATGAAAAGACTTTGACCTAATTAAATTGCCATGCTGTTCTTTTTTTTTACAGTAAACGATTCTATTGCTATCTCCCCCTGATACACTTAGTCATTTACTATCTTTTTTTATTACAATCAAATATATAAAACAAAGTGTTTCCATCTATTCTCTAACTTAGCTTTCAGTCATTAATGCACATGTGAAATAAATACATCATATAGACGAAACAATGGTCAGTTAGCTACAGACCATATTTTGAATACTTTTTGAAAGCGGTAAACTACTTAATTTGGTCGAACCCTCGGGAGTTGTTCTCATCCCGTCCCCAAGCCACTTCTTGGCTAGAGGGTGAAAGATTTCGCCACTGGAGTCTCCACAGAGTTTTATTGAACCGGCATGAATTAGATAGTTCAACCTGTAGTATATTTTACATGGACTAACCTGGACTCTCCAAGTACTAATATTTTAGTTGGACTAACCCTTTAGTTAGGTCCGCCGTAGAACCACATGAGTAGGAACTAGAAACCTCTATGAAAAGGTCTCCTGTATTTGTAGGCTACATAAGTCTATCTATAATCACACTTTGGTTGGTTTAGGATAGCGTAGTAATTGCTTCGAACCTTTGTCAGTTGTTACCAGAACATGAATAGAGGAGAAATATTTTGATGAGGACACCAGATCCATTGACAACTATGTAAGTGTTTATCACTTGTCACATGGAAATGATATCTTTCCACATTTTGTTATGTCTCCGGGATAAAAGAAAAGTGAGGAATGCAGTAGAAATCTTTTTTGAGCACAAGGAGAACAACACACAGACTTTACAACCATTCCAAATGTTAAAAGCCATGGTCAGAGCACAATTATACATTTAAAGCTGAGAGAGTGCTCTGCAATCCCAACATATAATGAACAAGGCTATTAAGAGTCGGCTTGTGTGTGTTTGCGTGCTTTTACTGCACCATATTTAGGTTATGGTAAATGGGAATCGCTTATTCTGGGGAGTACAAAAGAGTGAGGAGAAAAGGAGGCTGTGCACAAGAAGGAGGTGTTAGGGAGTGCAAGGGGAGGAAGAGTAGGAGGGAGCAACAAAATGTAAAATAAGATCACTATGTGCACTTCTATGCACTATGTGCACAACCTTTCCAAGCTCTCCTGCTCTCCAAGGCTGCAATGGCAAATGTGAAGCACTGTAGCCGGTCCACATTACAATAGCTCATGTGATTGCTCCACTTTGCTAAGTATTTTCATTGTATGCTAGTGTACTTTATAATCCTCGTCCTGTCAATGCTGCAGTCTTCTATTGGTGTTATGTGGCACTGCATTCAAAAATACTATTATTTTACAAGAATATTTATATGAAGGAAACCTAAACAGAAGTAATTAGACCGATTAGGAGACCATTTATTATGATTGGGCAGCTTCTTAATTTTTTGCCCTCAGTTGCTCAATATGCAATTTTTTCTACCCTCCCACATCGTGATTGAGGTTGATGAGCTCAAGGAGTAGGTAACCGTTTTCTTAGCAAAGTGCTCACTTTAAAAGAGTCTAGGTTTACTTTGCAAAATGATTTAATATTAAATAGGATTTGATTACCCAGTCATGTGTTAAGGGAAATGGGGGGAAAAACATCTCTACTTTATAAATCAACCCCACTTTGTTTGTACTTTAACTGCTGCAGCACCAAAACTCAACAGCAGGAGATAGTGCTGTCAGTGAATTAGGATTCACAACTGCTGGCGAAGGTAAAAATCAGCCTGAGCTGAATGGGGATCCCCTCCATGTTTCCATATTCAGAGGGGTGCGTGTCAGTGGTGTTTAAAAAATGATCTTCTCATGTACCATTGATGTTTATTGATGTCCCAGTTTATACACCTTCACTATTCACATTCAGAGTTAAAGGAGAACTATGAGGTGAGTGCTTTTCACTCACCTCATAGTTCTAGCCGACCTGTGACAATGAGACTGTCACAGTTCGGCTCAGTAGATAGGGAGGTGAGCGAACACATACTGGCGTTCCCTCACCTCTCGATCCTGTCACGGCTCTCTGCCGTGACAGGGGAGGGGCTGGATTCCCCCCTCCCCGCTCTGATCCGCCAGCGCTGACTGGCGGAACGGACGGGGGAGGTGGCGGGTACAGCTGGCTCTGCCTCTAGATAGGCAGAGCCAGCTGTCAGTCACGCAGCTGGGCGGATCCACACACAATTGTCGGGATCCGCTTCAGCTGCGGCGTCTCAGTATACCGCAAGCTACAGCTCGCAGTATGCTGAGCCTGGGGTGACGGGAGGACGCTAGTTTGTGTCCGCCTGTTACCCTAAGGAGAACTATGGGGAAAAGCCTTAACCCCATAGTTCTCCTTTTAAGATGCCATCACGTCATGTGTACTCAGATGTAGACTATTCTATTAATGTGAAATATAATATATATTTTTTTATTTAATCTCTAGTAGTCACTTTTTCATGTCGTCATTATAACAGGTTTAAGCCTTGTTCAAAGGCTAAGGCCAGATTTTAAGAAGAAATATGCTTCAATGTTTGATGATGACACTGTAACAGAATATATTTACCACTGCAATGCACAGTCTCCAAGGTAAGGTTTATGTTTTACTCCTGGTATAGTTTTTATCTGTTTAAAGTCTGTCTTTGATAGAAAAGAAGAGTTTCACCAGTCGTAACCGTCATTGCTGAGCCTGCAGTGACTTTATATTTTATTTTACGTTTGGTGCATGTGCAGTGAAAGATTCCTGCCTCCTTTTTATGAGGGAAAGGGCACCGTCATTAAATCCAACTGTAGACATATTCCCACATATTTAGGCCTAATAATCTCCTGTCGTTATAACCGAACAGTTATATTGTTTGTAAAAATTAGGTCATCATATTAATGATCTAACAGTTATCCTAATCTGCTGCATGTTTTTGAGTATTAAAAGATGCAGTAAGCCACTGAATGTGTCAAAAGCATTTAGTAACAGCCAACAAATAGAAACATTTGTGAATGCTGTTTGAGTTAGATTTTTTTTTTTAAATGTTTGTATGCATAAATTTTTGTGCTAAAGCATCCCAAATAAAGCTGAATCTGGCAAATCACAAAATACACAAACAGAAACATTTAATGGCTCATTCACACCAGATGCATTGGGGCTGCACTGGATCCTTTTTTGGGCTCGTGTGAATAGACCCTAAAGGAGCTTTTCTACCTGCCAAAGAATTAAGATCTCTTCCCATCTAATTTTGAGATCTTTAAACTGCACAAGCGCTTCACTCACTTTGGTTTTTATTAGTCTGTGTTTTGATCATTGCATCTTTTGATTTTCCTGGTTTCAGTGGTGAGACAGCATTCAGAACCATGACAATCCCATATGGTTGGGCTCAGAGGCCAATGCTGCAGCGTATTGACCAGATGCAGCCAAACATTCCAATCACCGTTATTTACGGAGCACGATCCTGTATTGATGGGAATTCGGGAAGCACTATTCAGTCACTGCGACCAAACTCCTATGTGAAAACAGTTGTAAGTATTTGCTTGTAATGCAGACTAATTTTTATGGGTCTAGCGTTTTTATTTTGTTTTTAGATAATTAGACGACAGGCAATCTATTGTCTCCCTATCTGCCATGAGTTGACATGAGTAGTCTACACCTGCAAGCTCTTCTAGGCACTGCTCAATATGTTGTATCAATCAGCAATATTGCTGTAAACTTCTACTTAAGTTTTCGGCACCAATTAACTAGCTGCTGTGCCCTGAATTAAACACCCTAAACTAGGGATGCACCGATACCGGTTTTACTGAAATTTTTTTATTGGTATTAATGACTTGCCACCTGGTTTCCTGATTAGCCGGGAAGCTGGGCGGCGTGTAAAGACTCGTCACCCGGCTTCCCGTTAAGCATGGAGCCAGCTTTCTGGCCATTCAGAAGGCTGAGGGGCAGGTAATGACTCGCCACCTGAATGTTGATGCAAGCAACAGCTAACAGTGACCATCCAACCAGGTTCTGGATTCAGGTCTACTTTGCATTTGAAGCAGGGTGCTTACACACACAGCTGCAAAAATATTTTTATTGGGCCACTCAAATAACACACAAAAAAAAAGTGAATTGGAAAAGCTCTATTCTTTGTACACTGTAATACTATTACTTTTCAAAATGTTATCACCTGTTTACTGAGGTGCTGGTTATTATTAGCCTTTTAAAAATAGCCTGCAGTTTATTACTTTCTGACTGATAGTACATAAACAGCATTGCTGTTGTTGGCTAACCTTTACCCTTGCAATAATAGTTCAAGGTCCTGTTTTAATTGGATCTGATTTGGTTATTGATAATCTTGTAGTTTTTAGTTGACGCCGTCTGTTATTTTCATTACTAAATCCATCTTTAAGAGAACCTGTCATGAAATCCCTTTTTTAGGAATCTAAACATTATAAATTGGAACTATGGAGTCTGCCACTAGTATTTCCACAGCAGTATTTTTTTTTATTATTTGCCAGTACCCCTTGTAGCATAGCTTTATCACCTGTTGATCCTGTCAAAAGATCTATTGTTTTTCCACTTCGTGAACTTGCCAAGCTGTCAGCAACAGTGGCAGTTACTGGGGCTGAGATCAATCGAATAACATTGGAGAGAGGGTGCTTGGTCCGTTTTTATTTTATTTTCCATTAAAAAGGATTAAAACTACGCAGCAAATTCCACTCAAAAATGGCACATGGATGTACAACCCTGCACGTAGACATTCTGTGTGCAGGGGTGTACGTCTTTACACATGTGCGTGTTTATGCAAGGACCGGTGATTACCTGCTATTGATTTCCATGGGCAACTGTATGCAGCACCTGTTGCATCGGGGCAGGGAATTACGCCCAAATTTTATGTTGTACAGCTACATGCATCCCTGTGCATGTGCCCAAAGTGTTTTGTTACAGTCCATTTAAAACTACATGTCCATGTAAGACTTCCACTGTCCACAGGGTGACAATGATGTTGTGTGAGTTCATTGCAGAACAAACCGCATTGTCACCCTGTTACAAAAAGTAGAAAAATAATGGGTGTACTGGCACTATGTTACATAGTGGAATGAGAAAAACAAAAACTGCTCTGTTAGTGCAAGTGCTAGACTTTGACTTTTTTTATTTTGCCCATAGTTCTAGTATTGCAGTGGAAAGAGTTAAATTAAAGATTCATGCAAGATAATAAAATGATTAAAGATTTATATTTACCCCCTTTTTTGGGGGGCATTGAATTCTCTTGGAGGTAAAAGTCAGAGTTGAGGGGCCCCTGAGGTCTGAGAGTTGCAACTATTATTAGCTGCTTGATCTTGTACTGAAAACAAAAAGCAAATATTCATCTTTTATATGCAAACCTATATCTATAACAGAATATTTAGATTCTTGAAATAGCCTAATCGTGCCTGGTTCTTTTTAACCCCTTCATGACTGAGCTAGTTTTCAGGTTCTGTTAATAAATGACTGACACATTTTGTACATTTGTGCTGTGTGATTCTTCCACAGCAGTAATATACTTTCTTACTAAATGTACCCACACATATTATATATAGTTTTTTAGAGGACAGATAGGGCTATATAATTATATCAGATTCAGATCTCACTAAAAGCTCTTTGATCGTGCCTAGACGATCAGAACTGATACATTTCACTCAAAAGATATACATTGTATCTTTTGAGTGAAATGTATCTAACCATCGGGCTCTCGAGCTGTCAAAACAAATAGCAGAGAGGTGAGGTGAGTCACTGCTGCCTCTCTGCTATTTTGAGCTGTCAAATACGGGATCGCAAATTGCGGTCCTCTATTTGCATGTAACGGCTTCATTCTTTCATTAATGAAAGGAAGAAGCTTTTACAAAAAGCTTAATTATTTCATTAATTAACGCCTCAATACTGAGACATTAATGAATGACTGTTAAATGCTGAGGATCAGCAAATACCGGCATTACAAAGCCTGATATAACTCGTCACGTACAGTGTACGTGGCCAGTCATATAGGCACAAAGTGACAGGACGTACACTGTACGTCTCCCGTCACGGAGGGGTTAAAGGTGACCCCAGGCAGCTTAATACACAGGTAAAGTATGCATAGAAACTGCCAAAGGATTTGTAATTCTGTAAAGCCATTCTTGTGTGACACCTCTACTAGATAGTACAACCTTATCCTTCAATGCAGCTGCACCGTCTTGGTCGAAAACATTGGGTCAAAACAATCTGAGCCTGCCGATGGGACAAGGAAGCAGAATTGCACACGCCCTATCTTTTCCTGTTAGCACGTTCACTGTCAGCACATGTGCATGCAACAGAGTCTTGACCCTCCCTGTTCCAGTCTTATTGCCATTGTACAGGGGTATTACAGGAGGTTTATAGTAAGACATACTCGGTTACTAATCCTAGTTGTATTTAAAAACACATTTTTATATTTATTTTCTTTAAAGACTATAGAGCTGCATTCATTGGTGTATTTCTATCTGTGTGGGTTTCAGGTTTAGCTGTTTAGGGCTTGTCCACTATATTTCCGGACCAGAACCTTTTGAATCTGGACCAAAAATGCATACACATTAATTCCAGTGGTAAAATTGAGGCCAGTTCATACCATTGTGTTCAGTTCCAAATCTTTTTCTTTTTTTTTTTTTTAAGTCCATCATGATGCATTTTTTTCTGGTCTGGAACATACAAATACGCAGGTAAACACATGCAAATGCACTGGAACGTGCCTAAAACCCAAACAAAACCAATTGAGAAAAAAAACGTATGCAAAATGCGCATGACCGTGTTTTCAGGAACACCAGATCTGGTCTGGAGATGGTGTGAACAAGTCCTTATTAATTGTCTACCACAGTTATGGACAAATCAATATGCAAAACAGGAACCAGTCTGTCCTATCCAGGAGCCAGCAGAATGTTTAATGGAACCAGCTCCGTCGACAACAACTTTAGGCAACCCCAAAAGCACTGGATTTAATTTTTAAGGAGCATTGGCGGCCTGGCTCCTGAGATTTATTCAGCCCTGGTTACCATACACCATACATTGATGTGTTTTTTGTTTTTGTTTTTTCTATCTACCCTTAGAGAATACTGCTATGTCATTACCGGTTATGACGCACTTCACTGAGAACTACTGTGCCTTCCAAATCACTTTCCTCAAGTTTATATATAAAAGGCTCATTATAGTTCACAGGCCACCTACAGCAGATAAGGGCTTCCACATAAATAGGTCAGTGTATACTTCACTTATACAAGTGCCCAGTTAATCAGTCATTTGGTCACGTTTAGAAAGGTTTAGCAGATGGCTTGAATAAGCTTTCCTCTGAGGTCATCTCAGGCATGCTCTTAACTGTGACAGAACTTTGTTTCAGGTTGATATGTCATGTAGTCGTTAAATATGCCCACTGTAAACCTAGCAAAAAAAATAAATGCTTTCAATTGCAAAAGTGTCCATACAGAGCAAAGCAACCTACAGCCAACAGTCTTTATTGAAACTTGGTGGAAGGTTGCCATAATCCGTGTGATTTTGCTCATTAGCTGGTTGCAGTTGACTGAAAATTACCATGTATTTATCCAATATCTGAGTCCAGCTGTCATGTTCTAGCATTCTTTTGTAAGGTAAAACATAAAAAAAGGTACTCACAATGTTATCAAATATTGTATGTTTGAGTATACAATTTTTTATGCATTTTTTTATTTTTTTTAGGCTATTCGTGGTGCTGGCCATTATGTGTTTGCTGACCAGCCAGAAGATTTCAACCAAAAAGTAATAGAAATCTGTGACTCTGTGGACTAACTTGGAAATCCGGTTTTGAAGATTCCTTTTCTGTATAATTTTTCTCTTACAGAGTAATGCAAAGAGCTTTCAGATTGCTCTCCTATACCCTATTATCGGTGCTTTCTCTTTAAAGACAGTTGCACACTTGAACCAGAATTGTGCCTTTTTTGTAGGAATTGATTTTAGACATAGCACTGTACAGCTTTTACAAGTTTCCAGAGTGTTTCTATTTTATATTGTTGAAATTCAAAAGAATTATATTTACTTTTGTCATATAGGTAGGTGTGTGTATATATATATATATATATACCCAATATTTTTTGTTTGTGTGACTGTGACTCCAAGCATGTTGTGAAAATGCTAAATTTGTATGTACATTGCTGTATTTATTTTTGTATTGTTGAATAATCATTCATTGTGTGCCAAATACTGCATGTGAGTTGTATGCCTGGGAATCTGGATAAGTGGTGAGGTCTGTGATATTCATTTAAGGTTTGAATGAAAACACTACCAGCATTCCATACAATAGATGACAGATGTCAATACTATCACTGCATTAGGATTATAAAAGTGTGACATATATTCATCTAACTTTTAAATTGTTCATTCTTTCTGCAAACACGTAAACTAAGCAATATATTTACAGAACGTTCACATTGCGAACATCTCTGAGATTCACAGTGCATTATAGGCACTAAATGAAGGCAAAGAGCATAGAAATTTCCTATGCTCCTTGGCTCCTTCTAGTGGCCATAATGCGCTGCGAATCTTGTTCGCAGAGACGTTTGCTGTGGGAACATTTTTTAAATGGACCCCCTAAGAGTATCCCTCTAATAAGGCCATCTTTTTAGCAGCTAGAGGGTTTTTTATTTAATGCATACCCATGATTTACTCTTGATAGGCAAACAGTCTCAGATTTTGGCAGTTCTGCTCCAGATAAAAATGAGTGTTACAATGAATCAGTTTTGATAGTGAACATACAACTAATATTGCACAGGGATTTAATAGTTTGGAGGTGACCCCCGAGCAATCCTCCATTCACCTGACCTGTTCTAACACTGTTCAGTTCGTTGGGTGATTGTCTAATTACTACCAATGAGGCAGTTTATTGTGGCTCTGTAGAGATTAAGAGTTATCCCTCCTGATTGCTTCCTCATTAGACATTGATTTACAAATACAATTCTTTGCATGCAGTGAATGAAGTGATTATGACATAAACAGCCGTATCGTGCAACATTTTCTTGTCTTGCCAGGAAATAATTGGCAGTGGTACTTTGGTCCGGCTAGGAGTTGTGTGGTATTGGAAGTAGGAATATTTCCATGCTATCAACCCAGAGGAGTCCAATGCAACGATCAGGCAAATTAATGCTGTATAGGGCTTACTTAGGGGATAACGGGGGTTTTTGAATGGCTCGTCGCATACAGGAATTTTCTGAACTTTTTGGAAAACCTATGTAATGCGGCCAGTCCTTTCTTAGAGGATGGACCATTCATGCTCCACGTTCCCCCTATTGACTGTGTTGTAAAGAGAAAGGCTGTGTGTCCCAGGGAGTTGTGGGGACATCATAAGTCTTACTTCTCCGTGTTTGATGAGAAATTTTTGGGGGGCATAGCTACATTTAAATTTAAAGCTGATTTAATCCCAGTAAGTGAAGAAAACCGTTTTGTAGGTACTTTTACCTACTAGGTAAAGTTGGATTAACTCTAATTTAAAAAAAATGAAATCTTTTTGACCTTCATTGGAATGTTTTTTTTTTTGCTTTTTAGCACGGTCTTGGTAGCTTCTGATCACTAGTACTTGCAGTGCGTTTGAAATGTGTCATATTACAGATTCCTCCAACAGTTACTGAGGATGGAGGAATCTCCTATTGTTTGCATTGTATTCTGACAGCGGCTGGTTGTTGCTGTCAGAATACCCAAAGCCTGTAGCTCATTGGCTGCAGGCTCTGTTTTGTTTAAAGGTATTCTGACTGGCTCCTTCGATTTGAGGGATGCCAGCCAAAAGGGTGCCAACAACAGCACCCGCTGTGTGAATTTTGGCCGGTTCATCAAGCAACGGCCATAATTCACATAGTGTATGGCCAGCTTTAGTCTCTTTTCACACCTAATCATGATCGTAGCCAGGCGATTTTAGAGGCAAATTCTTTTGTGCATTTTGCAAGTGGTTTTATGCTCAACTTGTAGTACAGGAGCCAAATCATACATTTTTGGGCCCTATAGACTTTTAAATGGGAGCTTCCATTAAAGTCTGAGGCGAAAAGAAGCGCTTGTGCTTTTTCAAGCTTCATGTGAAGGCCATTGAAGACAATGGGAATCCTCTTGCTTATCTTTGTTACGCTTATAGAAAAAGCCCAATGCCTAGGTGTGAATGGGGCCTTACTAAACATCTAGTTGTGAAGAAACCCTGAGCCACCGGTCCAGTGAGTAAGTGAGTCTTGTTTAAAGGATGTCAAAAACTCCAGGAATTATCTTCACCCCTTACCCTACAGCCAATAATTAGGCAGTGCAAGAATTTGTACCTGTTAAAAAAAAAAAGTATAAGGTTTGATTAAAAAAAAATCACAGAATTATAAACTCTGTGACCAATAAGGAATTTGTATGAGGCCATATAGAGGATTTTTGTTCAGATTTTGGAGTAACTCTACTTTCCAAAGGAAAAAGGTTGATCTTCCTAACTATCTACACTGGAAACTTTGGGTCCCCAATTAAATGCAATGGGTCTGCAAAAATGGGAAATCTGTAAGTGCATTGATTGCATTTGTTTACCAGCCGCAGAATTTATTATAGTCATCTGTAATTCTTGTGATTCACATACCTCTGCCATGTTATGCAACCAGGAACCCATAGCTTAGTCAAGAGAGATGCTAATTCATTGTTCAGTGGCCATGCTTTAGGTATAAGGAGATATGACGTTGCAAAACTGAACCAGGAAAGAGATGCTTTACCTGCAAGAATATGCAGTGTACTAGAAGTGTGTGAATCATAGGAACGGCTGACCAGCATTTAAAATCATTTTCCAGATAACAGTGCAGGTGCATTTTATGTGTATTTAACCATTTGCCTGGAGTTCCACTTTAAAGGTCACAGTGGTTTGACTGCCATTTGCACAATATACGTGCCAAGGGGGAAACTACTACAAAAAGCAATACCGTATTTTGAAAGTGCACTGTTTTTCTCTGGTACCCTGGTTAGGAGGATTACATTAGCAAACTTCTTAACTGTTAAACTTTCCTGTTCAAAGTTTTGTTGTCATGAGCATTTTTACCACTTAAATGTATATATTGTTTTATACGTTTTCAGTTGTGTTGAATATAAGAGATAGAGATTTTCAGGTATTTCATAATAGCTGCTAAGGTGAGATGGAAGTTACTGAAGTAATAATAAAACAATTTCTATTATAATGTACTGTTCATTTCACCCAAAAGAGATATATTGTGTTCTTTAGGAGATCATTATTTTACAGCCAGGTGTTGCCATAGCGACCAGCCTCCAGGTTTTGGAGTAGAAGTTTATTTCATAGTGGAAAGGAAAATTCACTGCTTGGAAGTTAGTGTAAAAAATGCACTTTGCTGTTCATAAATTAGAAATATAATGACTAAATGCAGAAGCCATTTTGTCAACCAAATATGCAATGGTGTGTATATTTTATTTAAATATAGAACATATTAAGGCTTTTTGTTATCTAAAGAAAAAAGGTTGCACAATATGTTTTTAGTTTTCTGTTTTTATTATAATTATGTAAATGTATTTTAAGCTGCCCTCTCTGTGAAAGTTCATATTTTATGCCGACAACCATAGTATTTGAGTTCACGGAGTATGGGGCAACATATTTCAACTAATAATAACAAGCTTATTGTTATGGAATGCAATAAAAAGTTTAAATCTGAGCCGTTAGTTCTTTTATTCTTCTCTGGTTTTTCTTTTTTTATATTTGATTGACTTATTTGATATACATCCTTGTGCATTTGTTGAGCAGTTATACAGATAATGTATGGCAGAGGTAGGCAAACTCCGGCCCTCCAGCTGTTGTGCAAGTAGAAATCCCATCCGGCATTGCAAGACCCTGACTTTTACTGGCATGATTCCCAGAGGCAGATGCATGCAGAGTTTGCTTACCCCTGATTTAGGGTATCACTGCTGATTTCCCGGTAGTAAAATGTATGGATCTCTGATCGGGTGGACTGGGGGACCAGCTAATTCATACTGAGCCATGGGTCCACAACCTTTTGGGTTAAGTGCTCAACTGAGATCTCATTACTGAGTTCTTGGGGTTCCTGACTTGTATGATATGACAATCCTTCACATAGGCTCTATTAGGAATCATTGGAACAAAAGGACACTTCATTGCAGTCCAGCTCCATACTGACTTTTGACCTGAACTGTGAAAGCTATGGTTAAAAAAAAAAAAAGAGGCAAAGATGGCCACTCAACCATATTGCCTGCCGCTGATCTTTCCCTTACTGACTCACAATGTCTTTTATTCTACTGTGTTTGTGTGCAGGCAGGCTTTGCATCATCATGTCGGTGCCTCCAGAAAGGAGAGCAGTGAGCAGAACAGTGGTGATGACAAGTCTCAATTTTAAATCTGCTGAGCCTACTAGACAGCAGTGCCCTAGTTCTCACACTGCAGATATACAACTATGAGGCTGCAGGCACAAGAGTGCATAGGCACCCTTTCATACCAGGACGTACACTGCTTTTTTTTTTTTTTTTCAGTAGAAGTACCTTTTCAAGATACTGCTTAGGCACACGTCAAGATGTTCCCTATAACTGTTTTCCTGCAGCACTGGGGCTGTCCACAGCAAACCTGTCTCCTTTGCTATGTTTAGAGAAAAGTTTGTAGTGCCTCAGAGAGTTAAAACATGCCTGCATCATCACAAGTACATTTAGACTGAACAGTAGAAATTGGTTCAGGACACTCAATGTTGCATGTTTGTTAAGCTAAAGGGAAATGTGCATGGTTTTCTAACTGATATGGACCAAACCGAATTGATTATTTTTAGTTTTAACATGAACAGTATTACTAACAAAATGCATATACAGCAATATTAAATGCTAGCTTGCAAAGAATTCACCTTTTTACATTTACATGCCATAACCTCTAAAGCATAAACAAAACTTAACCCAATCAACACCTAGCCTTAAGGGCCTATTGACAGCATTGCATTGCAGTACTGTGAATATTGCTGCAACTCATGTTGCATGTGGTGGTGTGATGTAGTGCCCTTTATTGTAGTGCACCATAGTACAGAATCACTTGTAGTGCTGGGATGTCAGTGATTACCCTGCCATGCTCTTTTAAAT